CATGGCCAGTGACCTCATCAGCGGGGTGGGCGTGGCCAATGACATCGCCGTGGGTGTCAACATGACCCGTGACATCATCAGTGCGGCTAATGACGTCATCGTGGGGGGGGGTCAGGGATCCCCGCAGGTCATTGTGGGTGACGCGGAGGGGGGGAGCCCCTGTGGGGCCGTGGGGTCTCTATAGGGGGTCTATAGGGTTCTATAGGGATCCATAGGAGTCTATAGGGGTCTATAGGGTCTCTATAAGGGTCTATAGGATCTCTATAGGGGTCTATAGGGGGTCTTACAGGGTCTCTATAGGGGGTCTATAGGGTTCTATAGGGGTCCATAGGGTCGCTATAGGGGGTCTATAGGATCTCTATAGGGGTCTATAGGGGGTCTTACAGGGTCTCTATAGGGGGTCTATAGGGTTCTATAGGGGTCCATAGGGTCTCTATAGGGGGTCTATAGGATCTCTATAGGGGTCTATAGGGGGTCTTACAGGGTCTCTATAGGGGGTCTATAGGGTTCTATAGGGGTCCATAGGGTCTCTATAGGGGGTCTATAGGATCTCTATAGGGGTCTATAGGGGGTCTTACAGGGTCTCTATAGGGGGTCTATAGGGGGTCTATAGGGTTCTATAGGGTCTCTATAAGAGGTCTATAGGGTCTCTGTAGGGGGTCTATAGGGTCTCTATAAGGGTCTATAGGGTGCTGCAGGACCATATGGGGTCTATAGGGTCTCTATAGGGGTCCATAGGGGTCTATAGGAGGGTCTATAGGGTCTCCATAGGGGGTCTGTAGGGTGCTGCAGGACCATATGGGGTCTCTAGGGCTGTCTATAGGGCACCCTGGAGGTTGTTACAGGTCTCTGTAGGGGCAGTGAGGGTCTCTATAGGGCCCTATAGGTCACTGCGAGGTGTTATATGTCCCTACAGCTCAGCAGAGCACTGTAGGGTGCCGTGGAGGGTGTTACGAGGGTGCTGTGAGGTGCTGGGCTCTGCTTTAGGGCGCTATAGGGTCTCTATAGGTCTCTATAGGGCGCCTATGGCCACGCCCCCTCCCCACAGACCACGCCCCCCACTGCAAAGCCGCGCGAGGCAGGGGGCGGAGCCTCGCTGAGGGCGCGGCCAATCAGACGCCGGCGCGCAGGGATGGGGGGGGGGCGGAGCGCGTGCGCCATGAGGAGACCGCCCCCTAGCGGCCGTGCGGGAAGGAAAAGGGCGGGAAAGCGCTGAGGGGAGCGGGGGGGGGGCCGGAGGAGGGAGAGACCCCTCGGGACCCCCAAACCTCCCTCGGGACCCCCCAAAACCTCCCTCGGGACCCCCCAAAACCTCCCTCGGGGCCCCCAAATCTCCCTCAGGACACTCCTGGACCTGTATAGGAGGCTCTCCAGTGGTGGGTGAGCCCCTGGCTCTGCCGTCTGGTCATGAGGGGCTTCCCTCACTCCCTTCCCCTCACGCTGAAGGTCCCGACATAGCGGGCGGTCCTCCTCACCCACCTCATTCCGCCGTGGGGATCTCCACCGTGGCAGGGCTGCTGTCCCCACCGTGTCCCTTTTCCCTCCCCGTTGCTGTCGCGGTCACCCGAGCGTGGCCCTGGACTGGAAGCAGCTGCTGGACAGGTGATTAACAGCCTTCATTAGCGCATGGCCGCGGGGGCAGCGGCGCGTGGCCTGGCCCTGTCCCCAAGCTGTCCCCAAGCCGCCACCTGTACCTGTGCCACCAACTGTCCCTGGCTCAGTCCCCTCACCTGTCCCTGTCCCCAGCTGCCTCCTGGCCTGAGGCACCCACCTGTTCCCCCAGCTGTCCCCATCCCCTGAAGTGTCCCGGTCCCTGTGGCCACCATAACCCCCCACAGCTGTCCCCCAGTGTCCCCTCGTGCCCCACAGCCCCAGCTGGGCCCCCATAGCTCCCCCAGATTCTCCAGAGGAGGTTCAGGTGTCTGGGGGGGCTCCAAAGAGTAACTGGGAGGGGGCTCGGGGGGAATTTGGGGGTGCCGAGAGCTTTTGGGGGTGAGCGTGAGGGGGCTTTGGGGTCACTGGGGGGTCGGGGTCTCCGGGGTCCTTTCAGAGGCACGGAGGGGGTTGGGGGGTTCTGGCCAACCCTTCCCGACATCCCCAGCACCTCCCAGCACCCCAAAAACCCAACAACACCCCTCGACACCCCAACAACACCCCTGCAACACCCTGACACCCCAACAACACCCCAGCAACACCCTGACACCCCAAAACCTCCACAGTTCCCCTCCCTACAGCACCCCAAAGCCCCCCTCTTCCTTTTCCCCCGCGGGCTGGGACACCCCGAGACCCCCCGGGGGGGCAGGGACAGGGGGACACGGGGACAGCAGGACACGGGGACGGGGACAGACGGACAGCCGGCCCCGCCGCACCGCCCGCCTGCCCCATTAGTATTCTGCGAGCGGCAGCGGCTGCTGCAGGGCGGGGGGGGGCAGTGTCCCCAACCCCCCCCGTGTCCCCAACCCCCCCAGTGTCCCCTCCGTGTCGTCCCCCCCGGCCGAGATGAGGCTGAGCCCCCCGGAGAGGAGCTTGGGCCAGGTAGGACCTGGAGGGGGACACCGAGGGGACAAGGAGGGGTGGCACCAGGGGGTGGGGACACGGAGGGGACACAGCCGGTGTCGCCCGGGGGGAGACGGAGGGGGTGAGGACATTGACTTGTCACCCCGTTGTCACGGGGACGGTGACACAGCTTTGTCTGCTGCCGCTGCGGGGACAATGACACAAGGGGGTTGTGTCCCCCTCCGGCACGGGGACAGTTTGTCCTCGCTGGTGTGGGGATGGGGACACGGGTTTGTCCCCTCCTGCTGTTCTGGGGATGATGGTGACAGGCGTTTGTCACCCCCTGGTACAGGTTTGTCCCTGCTGTTCTGGGGACAATGACACAGGTTTGTCACACGCTGGCACCGGTTTGTTCCTGCTGTTCTGGGGACAGTGACAGGGGTTTGTCACCGTTGCTTTGGGGACAGTGACAGGTGTTTGTCCCTGCTGTTTTGGGGACAGTGACAGGGGTTTGTCCCTGCTGTTTTGGGGACAGTGACAGGGGTTTGTCCCTGCTGTTCTGGGGATGGTGACAGGGGTTTGTCCCCGTTCCTTTGGGGACAGTGACAGGGGTTTGTCACAGTTTGTCACCCCACCATTGTGGGGACAGTGACAGGAGTTTGTCACCCACCAGCACAGGTTTGTCACCCCACCATTGTGGGGACAGTGACAGCAGTTTGTCACCCACCAGCACAGGTTTGTCACCCCACCATTGTGGGGACAGTGACAGGAGTTTGTCACCCACCAGCACAGGTTTGTCACCCCACCATTGTGGGGACAGTGACAGCAGCTTGTCCCCGCTGTTTTCAGAATGGCAACAGGGTTTTGTGCTGGGCTGTTACTGGGATTACTGGTGGGCACTGGTGGTTACCGGTGAGCACTGGTGGTTACTGGTGAGCACTGGTATCTCCATGCCTGACCCTCTCCTGGTGCTGGGGGGTTACCGGTGGGCACTGGTGGTTACTGGTGAGCACTGGTGGTTACTGGTGGGCACTGGTGGGCACTGGTGGGCACTGGTATCTCCATGCCTGCCCCTCCCCTGGTGCTGGGGGGTTACTGGTGGTTACTGGTATTTACTGGTGGGCACTGATATCTCCATGCCTGACCCACCCCTGTTGCTGGGAGGTTACTGGTGGGTACTGGTATTTTCTGGTGGGCACTGATATCTCCATGTCTGACCCTCCCCTGGTGCTGGGGGCTTACTGGGATGTTACTGGTGGGTACTGGTGGGCTGTGCCTGACCCTCCCCTGTTGCTGGGGGGTTACTGGTGGGCACTGGTGTGCATTGGTGGGCACTGGTGATTACTGGTGGGCACTGGTATCTCCATGCCTGACCCTCCCCTGGTGCTGGTGGGCACTGGTGGTTACTGGTGGGCACTGGTGGTTACTGGTGAGCACTGGTGTTACTGGTGGGCACTGGTATCTCCACGCCTGACCCTCCCCTGGTGCTGGGGGGTTACCGGTGGGCACTGGTGGTTACCGGTGGGCACTGGTATCTCCACGCCTGCCCCTCCCCTGGTGCTGGGGGGTTACCGGTGGGCACTGGTGGTTACTGGTGAGCACTGGTGGTTACTGGTGGGCACTGGTGGTTACTGGTGGTTACTGGTGGGCACTGGTGTCTCCACGCCTGACCCTCCCCTGGTGCTGGGGGGTTACCGGTGGGCACCGGTGGGCGCCGCTGTGCCCGGGTGACCCCGTCCCCGGCGTGTCCCCGCAGGGCGCAGCGGCGGTGGCGCCTGACCCTCCCCTGGTGCTGGGGGCTTACTGGGATGTTACTGGTGGGTACTGGTGGGCTGTGCCTGACCCTCCCCTGTTGCTGGGGGGTTACTGGTGGGCACTGGTGTGCATTGGTGGGCACTGGTGATTACTGGTGGGCACTGGTATCTCCATGCCTGCCCCTCCCCTGGTGCTGGGGGGTTACCGGTGGGTACTGGTGGTTACTGGTGGGCACTGGTATCTCCACGCCTGCCCCTCCCCTGGTGCTGGGGGGTTACCGGTGGGTACTGGTGGTTACTGGTGGTTACTGGTGGGCACTGGTGTCTCCACGCCTGACCCTCCCCTGGTGCTGGGGGGTTACCGGTGGGCACTGGTGGTTACTGGTGGGCACTGGTATCTCCACGCCTGCCCCTCCCCTGGTGCTGGGGGGTTACTAGTGGGCGCTGGTGGGTACTGGCGGGCACTGGTGGGTCTGGTGAGCACTGGTGGGCACTGGTGGTTACTGGTGGGCACTGGTATCTCCACGCCTGCCCCTCCCCTGGTGCTGGGGGGTTACCGGTGGGTACTGGTGGTTACTGGTGGTTACTGGTGGGCACTGGTGTCTCCACGCCTGACCCTCCCCTGGTGCTGGGGGGTTACCGGTGGGCACCGGTGGGCGCCGCTGTGCCCGGGTGACCCCGTCCCCGGCGTGTCCCCGCAGGGCGCAGCGGCGGTGGCGCGATGAGCCCCCCGGTGCCCGTCCCCGCCGGCAGGATGCTGCTCGCCCTGGCCCTGGCCTGCGCCAGCCCCTTCCTGGAGCCGCCGGCGGCGCCGCGCCGCACGCTCAACGTGGCCGTGATCCTGAGCGGGGCCTCCTACGGCCCCGCCGGGCCCCGCCTGGCGCCCGGAACCTTCCGGAACTTCTCTCTGGACGTGAACCCCGTGGGGGTGGTGCTGAACGACACCAACCCGCGCAGCCTGATCGTGCGCCTGTGCGACGTGCTGTCCTCGCTGCGCATCCACGGCGTCGTCTTCGAGGACGACACGCGCTCCGAGGCCGTGGCGCAGATCCTCGACTTCATCTCGGCCCAGACCTCCGTGCCCATCATCGGCGTCAACGGCGGCTCCGCCATCGTCCTCACGCCCAAGGTGACGCCCCGGGACCACCCCGGGCGGGTTTAGGGACGCCCGAATGTCCCCAGGTGGATCTGGAACCAACCGGCTGTTCTCATCCCAACTGTCTCCAACCCCAGCCCTGTACAGGGGCACCCAAATGTCCCCAGCTGTGTCCAGAGCCACCCAGCTGTCCCCAACACAACCCCGGCCATGTCTTGTGTCACCCAGCTGTGCCCAGCCTAACCCCAGGTGTGTCCAGAGCCACCTGAATGTCCCCAACTGTGTCTAGGGGCACACAACTGTCCCCAGGTGTGTCCAGAGCCACCTGAATGTCCCCAACTGTGTCTAGGGGCACACAACTGTCCCCAGGTGTGTCCAGAGCCACCTGAATGTCCCCAACTGTGTCTAGGGGCGCGCAACTGTCCCCAACTGTGTCTAGAGCCACCTGAATGTCCCCAACCCAACCCCAGCTGTGTCTAGAGCCACCTGAATGTCCCCAACCCAACCCCAGCTGTGTCTAGAGCCACCTGAATGTCCCCAACCCAACCCCAGCTGTGTCTAGAGCCACCTGAATGTCCCCAACCCAACCCCAGCTGTGTCTAGAGCCACCTGAATGTCCCCAACCCCCCCCCAGCTGTGTCTAGAGCCACCTGAATGTCCCCAACCCAACCCCAGCTGTGTCTAGAGCCACCTGAATGTCCCCAACCCCAACTGTGTCTAGAGTCACCCAAACATCCCCAACCATGTGTAGATCCACACAACTGTCCCCAACCCCGTGGTCCCCAAACCCAACCACGTTCTATCCCCGCTTGACCATCCTCAACCCAACTGCCCCAACCCCAACCACGTCTAGTGTGACCCAGCTGTCCCCAACGTGACTGTCCCCAACCTGTGTCCCCTCGCCCCCCACACCCTCCCCATTCCCCCCCTCCGCAGGAGAAGGGCTCCACCTTCCTGCAGCTGGGCTCCTCCACGGAGCAGCAGCTCCAGGTGATCTTCGAGGTGCTGGAGGAGTACGACTGGACGGCCTTCGCCGTGGTCACCACGCTGCTGCCCGGCTACGAGGACTTCGTGGACTACGTGGAGGTGCTGACCGACAGCAGCTTCATCGGCTGGGAGCACCGCGGCGTGGTCACCCTGAACCTGACCGACGACCCCGAGGGCGCGCGGACGCGCCGGCAGCTGCGCGAGGTGACGGCGCAGATCCGGCTGCTCTACTGCTCGCGCGACGAGGCCGAGGCCGTGTTCCGCGCCGCCCGCGACGCCGGCCTCACCGGGCCCGGCTACATCTGGTTCGTGGTGGGCACCAACCTGGGGGGCAGCGAGCAGCTGCCCGAGCACGTGCCCGCCGGGCTGTTCGCCGTGCTGTCGGCCGGCTGGCGCGACGACCTGCAGCACCGCGTGCACAACGGCGTGGCCATCGTGGCCAAGGGCGCCGAGGCGCTGCTGCGCGACTACGGCTTCATCCCCGAGTTCAACAACGACTGCCGCGCGCCCAACGTCACCCAGATCAACGACAACCTGCACAGGTGGGGCGGGGGCGGCGCTGCTGGGGGCGTGGCAGTTGGGGTTTGGGGATGTTGGGGAGGTGCTGGTGGCGCTAGATGGGGTTGGGGTTGAGTTGGGGACAGCTGGGTTGGGGACAGCTGGGTTGGGGACAGCTGGGTTGGGGACAGCTGGGTTGGGGACAGCTGGGTTGGGGACAGCTGGGTTGGGGACAGCTGGGTTGGGGACAGCTGGGTTGGGGACAGCTGGGTTGGGGACAGCTGGGTTGGGGACAGCTGGGTTGGGGACAGCTGGGTTGGGGACAGCTGGGTTGGAGACAGTTGGGTTGGGGACATTCAGGTGGTTCTAGACGTGGTTGGGGTTAGGTTGGGGACAGTTGGGTTCGGGACAATTGGGTTGGGTCAGTTGGTTTGGGGACATTTAGGTTGTTCTAGACATGGTTGGGAACAGTTGGGTTGGGAACATTTAGGTTGTTCTAGACATTGTTGTGGTTAGGTTGGGGACAGTTGGTTTGGGGACAGTTGGTTTGGGGACATTGAGGTGGTTCTAGATGTGGTTGGGGTTAGGTTGGGGGCAGTTGGGTTGGGGACAGTTGGGTTGGAAATGTTCAGGTGGCTCTAGACATGGCTGGAGTTGAGTTGGGGACACTCAGGTGGCTCTAGACATGGCTTTAGACGTGGTTGGGGTTAGGTTGGGGACAGTTGGGTTGGGGACAGTTGGTTTGGGGACATTTAGGTGGTTCTAGACATGGTTGGGGACAGCTGAGTTGGGGACAGTTGGGCTGGGGACATTCAGGTGGCTCTAGACATGGTTTGGGTTAGGTTGGGGACACTCAGGTGGCTCTAGACATGGCTGGCGTTAGGTTGGGGACAGTTGGGTGACCCTAGACACAATTGAGGTCGGGTTGGGGACATCCAGGTGACCCTGGACATGGTTGTGATTGGGGTTTGGTTGGGTTGGGGACAGTTGGGTGACTGTAGACACACTCAGGGTGGGGTTGGGGACATCCAGGTGACCCTGGCCGCTCTCGGGGTCAGACTGGGGACATCCAGGTGACCCTGGCCGCTCTCGGGGTGGGGCTGGGGACATCCAGGTGACCCTGGCCGCTCTCGGGGTGGGGTTGGGGACATCCAGGTGACCCTGGCCGCTCTCGGGGTGGGGCTGGGGACATCCAGGTGACCCTGGACGTGGTTGTGATTGGGGTTTGGTTGGGTTGGGGACAGTTGGGTGACTGTAGACACACTCGGGGTGGGGTTGGGGACATCCAGGTGACCCTGGCCACTCTCGAGGTGGGGTTGGGGACATCCAGGTGACCCTGGACATGGTTGTGATTGGGGTTTGGTTGGGTTGGGGACAGTTGGGTGACTGTAGACACACTCGGGGTGGGGTTGGGGACATCCAGGTGACCCCCTCCCCATTCCCCCCCTCCGCAGGAGAAGGGCTCCACCTTCCTGCAGCTGGGCTCCTCCACGGAGCAGCAGCTCCAGGTGATCTTCGAGGTGCTGGAGGAGTACGACTGGACGGCCTTCGCCGTGGTCACCACGCTGCTGCCCGGCTACGAGGACTTCGTGGACTACGTGGAGGTGCTGACCGACAGCAGCTTCATCGGCTGGGAGCACCGCGGCGTGGTCACCCTGAACCTGACCGACGACCCCGAGGGCGCGCGGACGCGCCGGCAGCTGCGCGAGGTGACGGCGCAGATCCGGCTGCTCTACTGCTCGCGCGACGAGGCCGAGGCCGTGTTCCGCGCCGCCCGCGACGCCGGCCTCACCGGGCCCGGCTACATCTGGTTCGTGGTGGGCACCAACCTGGGGGGCAGCGAGCAGCTGCCCGAGCACGTGCCCGCCGGGCTGTTCGCCGTGCTGTCGGCCGGCTGGCGCGACGACCTGCAGCACCGCGTGCACAACGGCGTGGCCATCGTGGCCAAGGGCGCCGAGGCGCTGCTGCGCGACTACGGCTTCATCCCCGAGTTCAACAACGACTGCCGCGCGCCCAACGTCACCCAGATCAACGACAACCTGCACAGGTGGGGCGGGGGCGGCGCTGCTGGGGGCGTGGCAGTTGGGGTTTGGGGATGTTGGGGAGGTGCTGGTGGCGCTAGATGGGGTTGGGGTTGAGTTGGGGACAGCTGGGTTGGGGACAGCTGGGTTGGGGACAGTTGGGTGGGGGGCAGTTGGTTTGGGGACATTTAGGTGGTTCTAGACGTGGTTGGGAACAGTTGGGTTGGGAACATTTAGGTTGTTCTAGACATGGTTGGGGTTAGGTTGGGGACAGTTGGGTTGGGGACAGTTGGGTTGGGGACAGTTGGGTTGGGGACAGTTGGGTTGGGGACAGTTGGGTTGGGGACAGTTGGGTTGGGGACAGTTGGGTTGGGGACAGTTGGGTTGGGGACAGTTGGGTTGGGGACAGTTGGGTTGGGGACAGTTGGGTTGGGGACAGTTGGGTTGGGGACAGTTGGGTTGGAGACAGTTGGGTTGGGGACATTCAGGTGGTTCTAGACGTGGTTGGGGTTAGGTTGGGGACAGTTGGGTTCGGGACAATTGGGTTGGGTCAGTTGGTTTGGGGACATTTAGGTTGTTCTAGACATGGTTGGGAACAGTTGGGTTGGGAACATTTAGGTTGTTCTAGACATTGTTGTGGTTAGGTTGGGGACAGTTGGTTTGGGGACAGTTGGTTTGGGGACATTGAGGTGGTTCTAGATGTGGTTGGGGTTAGGTTGGGGGCAGTTGGGTTGGGGACAGTTGGGTTGGAAATGTTCAGGTGGCTCTAGACATGGCTGGAGTTGAGTTGGGGACACTCAGGTGGCTCTAGACATGGCTTTAGACGTGGTTGGGGTTAGGTTGGGGACAGTTGGGTTGGGGACAGTTGGTTTGGGGACATTTAGGTGGTTCTAGACATGGTTGGGGACAGCTGAGTTGGGGACAGTTGGGCTGGGGACATTCAGGTGGCTCTAGACATGGTTTGGGTTAGGTTGGGGACACTCAGGTGGCTCTAGACATGGCTGGCGTTAGGTTGGGGACAGTTGGGTGACCCTAGACACAATTGAGGTCGGGTTGGGGACATCCAGGTGACCCTGGACATGGTTGTGATTGGGGTTTGGTTGGGTTGGGGACAGTTGGGTGACTGTAGACACACTCAGGGTGGGGTTGGGGACATCCAGGTGACCCTGGCCGCTCTCGGGGTCAGACTGGGGACATCCAGGTGACCCTGGCCACCCTCGGGGTGGGGTTGGGGACATCCAGGTCACCCTGGACATGGTTGTGATTGGGGTTTGGTTGGGTTGGGGACAGTTGGGTGACTGTAGACACACTCAGGGAGGGGTTGGGGACATCCAGGTCACCCTGGACATGGTTGTGATTGGGGTTTGGTTGGGTTGGGGACAGTTGGGTGACTGTAGACACACTCAGGGAGGGGTTGGGGACATCCAGGGGACCCGGGCCGCTCTCGGGGTCAGACTGGGGACATCCAGGTGACCCTGGCCGCTCTCGGGGTGGGCTTGGGGACATCCAGGTGACGCTGGCCGCTCTCGGGGTGGGCTTGGACAGGTACTTCATGAACATCACGTGGGGACAGAAGGATTTCTCCTTCAACGAGGACGGGTACCTGGTGAACCCCTCGCTGGTCGTCATCTCCCTCAACAAGGAGCGCACCTGGGAGGTGGTGAGTGTCACCCTTGGGGACAGGGATGTCACCCTTGGGGACAGGGACGTTCCCCATCGGTGTTGCAGTTCTGGGCACGGTGACGATGCCACCACAGGGTCCCCAGGGCTCGGTGCCATCTGCTCTTCACCATCCCGCCCCCTCATCGCGCTGTCACGCTGTGTTGTCACAACAACGTGGCACCCGGGGGTGGCGGTGACATCTGAGCAGTGACGGGGACACGGCTCAGCCTCCTGCCCTGTCACGGTGACACCTTGGCTGGTGTCCCACCAAGGTGATCCTGTCATTGTCCCCAGCAGTGATGTCCCCTCGTGGTGACACCTGGTCCTGTTCCCCACACAGTGATGGCATCATTGTCCCCAGGGTGACACCCTGGCACGGTGACATTTCCTCTGCCTGTTGCCCACTGAGGAGACCCTATGATTGTCCCTAGCAGTGACACCTTGCCATGGTGACATCATGGTGACACCTTGTCCCGTTCCCCACCATTTCCCTACCACAGTGGTGGCATCATTGTCCCCAAGGTGACACCCTGGCACGGTGACATTTCCTCTGCCTGTTGCCCACCATCATTGTCCCTAGCAGTGACACCTTGCCGTGGTGACATCCCATCATGGTGACACCTTGGCCTGTCACCCTCTGGGTGTCCCCCACATGTCCCCACGTGTCCCCACATGTCCCCAAATGTCCCCCCAGGTGGGCAGCTGGGAGCAGCAGCTGCTGAGGCTCAAGTCCCCGGTGTGGTCCCCCTGTCAGTGGTGACATCCATCATGGGGACACCTTATCCACATGGTGACACCCCTGTCACTCTCTAGGTGTCCCACGTGTCCCCACGTGTCCCCACATGTCCCCATGTGTCCCCATGTGTCCCCACGTGTCTCCACGGGACACTGGGGGACAGCTGGGACACCGGGGGGACAGCTGGGGGACACCCGGGACAGCTGGGGGACATCCGGAACAGCTGGGGGTGGCACTGCCAGGTGGGGACACCAGGGACACCGGGGGGACAGCTGGGGGACACCAGGGACACCAGTGGGACAGCTGGGGGACACCTGGGACGGGTGGGACAGGTGGGGGAGGCACCGCCAGGTGGGGACACCAGGGACAGCTGGGGGACAGTTGGGACACCGGGGGGACAGCTGGGACAGGTGGGGATGGCACTGTCCAGGTGGGGGTGGCACTGTCCAGGTGGGGGACACCAGGGACACCTGGGGGACACCTGGGACACCTGGGGGTGGCACTGCCAGGTGGGGACACAGGGACACCTGGGGGACAGCTGGGAGTGGTACTGCCTAGTGGGGGACACCTGGGACAGGTGGGGGACACCTGGAACACCTGGGGGTGGCACTGCCAGGTGGGTGTCCCCAACACTTTGGGGGTGTCCCCAACCCAACGCTGTTGCCACTTTGGGGGTGTCCCACCACCCTGGGTTTGTTCCTACTGCCCTGGGGTTGCCCCCAATCTGGGGGTGTCCCCAAGGCCCTGGGGGTGTCCCCACCACCTTGGGGGGTGTCTACAGCAGTCTGGGGGTGTCCCCAAGGCCCGGGACACCTGGGGGTGGCACTGCCAGGTGGGGACACAGGGACACCTGGGGGACAGCTGGGAGTGGTACTGCCTAGTGGGGGACACCTGGGACAGGTGGGGGACACCTGGAACACCTGGGGGTGGCACTGCCAGGTGGGTGTCCCCAACACTTTGGGGGTGTCCCCAACCCAACGCTGTTGCCACTTTGGGGGTGTCCCACCACCCTGGGTTTGTTCCTACTGCCCTGGGGTTGCCCCCAATCTGGGGGTGTCCCCAAGGCCCTGGGGGTGTCCCCACCACCTTGGGGGTTTCCCCAGGACCCTGGGGGGTGTCCCCACTCTGAGGGTGTCCCCACCACCTTGGGGGTGTCCCCAAGACCCTGGGGGTGTCCCCACAAGCTTGGGGGTGTCCCCAAGACCCTGGGTGCATCCCCACCACCTTGGGGGTGTCCACAGCAGTCTGGGGGTGTCCCCAGGAGCTTGGGGGTGTCCCCAGGAGCTTGGGGGTGTCCCCACCACTTTCGGGGTCCCCTGCAGCCCCCCGCCCTTTGAGAAGAAGTGCTGCAAAGGTTTCTGCATCGACATCCTGAAGCGCCTGGCGCGGGCCCTGGGCTTCACCTACGACCTGTACCTGGTCACCAACGGCAAACACGGCAAGAAGATCGATGGCGTCTGGAACGGCATGGTGGGGGAGGTGGGACCCCCAGAAACAGCCCTGTGCACCCCAAAAACACCCCTCTGCACCTCAGAAACACCCCTCTGCACCCCAAAAACAGCCCTCTGCACCCCAAAAACACCCCTCGGAACCCCAAAAACACCCCTCTGCACCCCAAAAACACCCCTCTGAACCCCAAAAACACCCCTCTGCACCCCAAAAACACCCCTCTG